CTATAATAACTATTATTAGCAACTCGTCAGATCTTAGCATCTCCGCTGCAATGCTTCTGGGGAAAAAATGCAAATTTGAAATCTTAAACAGATTTTTAGCTTATGGAAACATTTTCTGGCTGACATTTAATACTGCTTTAGGAAGAGGAGAGAGACTGTCACTGCATGATAAAATACTAATCTCACAAACCACCTCCCCAGTGCTTAGAGGTAAGGTAGAAACGTGTTGTTCTGGGGTGAATGGACTCAGGTTTCCTGTGGATTTTGCAGTTTCTCTTGGGACTATTTCTGTTAGATCAACCTGTAGTGAGGCAGTGTCACCTTCTGCCTCCTGCCGTCACTCTGTGCCTCAGTTTACCTCTTGACGTGTGGTTAGGCAGCTGGGCACTGAACGTTCCTGACAGCATGGGCAGGCACCAGTATATGCATGCAGTTTCTGGGGTAAGTACATTTTATAGGAGGTCGAGGGACCCTCAATTTTGGAAAATGAGCTCTGAGAGCAAATAGTTGTAGGTAAATGAAGCTGGTCTCCTAGCCTTCACCCCAACAGTGTCCTTGACTCTGTGCTTTCTGCTGGGCTGTGTAGGGTGGCAAGGGCTGAAGTAGTGACCTTCTTTCAGCGTGAAAATCCAGAAGTCCTCACTTGGGCCAACCCGGGGAAACACTGAGAGCCCTGTGGGAGTGATCTCAAAAACATGCTGGCCATGGCCATGGCAGCAAGCACGCCAGGGCACAAAGAGGATCACTCACTCAAGTTGTACACGAGGAAGAGAGCAGTCATCCCGGCTTGCTGGTGCTCTCCCACTTTGCACTCTACCCGCCAGATTCCGGCATGTGAGGGCCACATCTCCACCGTCCCAAATACACCTGGCCAGGAATGGAGAGCAGAGGGAAGTTACTGGCTGTAATGGAATGCCCCAGTGCCAAGTGCTGTGTAAACCCAGAGCCAGACTCTTCCAGATCCATCACCCTTCCTTGCTATCCCCCCACAGGCTTGGCAATTCCTAATGGTCATGGACATGAAGCCGCGGTAGCTGCGGTGTGCACCGCACTGTATCTCACCAGGATAAAGATTGTAGACTGCCATGCGATACTCCTGGCTACTCCTGACGCTGAACAGCTGCCCATGAAAGTGGACGGAGTGGATATCCTCAGTGCTGCCCATGTTCAGGAGGTGCCATCGGACCCGTTGCTGCTGAGCCATCACCAGCCCGGGCAGTGTGTCACTCACGTAGCCATTGATGGCTGGGGAAGGCAACAGTCAGGAGTGGCTCAAGGTTCCAGGGTTTTTCCATCCCAATATAGATTGTGGAATGGTGTCGTGGTTTAACCCCAGCTGAAACTAAGCATCATGCAGCCGCTTGGTCACTCTTCCCTCATGGGAAGGAATGGGGAAGAGAATCGGAAAAACACTTGTAGCTTGAGATAAAGACAGTTTAATAGGACAGGAAAAACAAGCAAGCAAGCAAAAAACCCCAATTATAATAAAAGAATATATAAAACAAGCAAAGCACAGTATAATTGCTCACCACTCACTGACCGATGCCCAGCCTGTTCCCAAGCAGCAATTGTGCCCTCCCGGTCAACACCCCCACTTTATATACTGAGCATGATGTTATATTGTATGGAATACCCCTTTGGTCATTTTGGGTCAGCTGTCCTGGATATGATGCCTCCCATCTTCTTGTGCACCTGGGAACCTGAAAGTCTTTGACTGTTTAGCAACAACTAAAAACATCAGTGTAGTATCAGTATTCTTCTCATACTAAATTTGAAAACAGCACTATACCAGCTACTAAGAAGAAAATCAGCTCTACCGCAGCCGAAACCAGGACAGATGGAAAGGGCAAGGGCAAGGGTCCTCACCATGGAAGGAATGGTTTCTCTTAAAGTCAGGGTTGTCCAGCTGGATGCGGCAGGGAGGGTGGCAGTTCCTCTCCATGTTCTCCAGGAAGTACCAGCTTTTGGTCTCATCAAAGATGGTGAAGAGCAAGGAGAACTCCTGCACAGCCAGCTGCTGCCTGAAAACGAAGCTGAGCACCCCACGGCGGCAGATGATCAGTGGCCCAATGAGGCCTGAGTGCAGGTCCTTCTCCTGCCAGGGAGCCAGGAAAGAAGGGTTTGCCTTAGAAGGGGAGACAGTGCTGATGCCTGCAAGTGGCACAGCAGCAAGAAAAGCAGTGGCCCTGCCTCCCTGGCTTGGATCCACTCATGCACAGGGCACGGCACGTACAGGGTGGGAAGGACGTGCTGGGTTAACTGGGAGATCCTCACTCTGCCCTTAGCTAAGAAAGGCAGTGCATCAAGTGTTTGCACATGCTTTTGAGAGAAGTGGTGTCTGTCCAACAGTACCTATCCCACTAACATTGGAACCCATGAGCCAAATTCAGCAGAGGGGACTGCAGAATGCCAGTTCCCTACAATTCTCATAAGCTGGTACAACTGGGGAAAAGGGGGAAACCCAATGAAGCAAAATGAAAGCATCAGCATGCGTTCATCACTGTATTAGGCATCTGAGAATCTACTCAGCCACAGGCTGCTTTCAGCACAGAACCATAGGAAAAGCCTTGACCTCACAGCCAGGACCAGGCGTACTGCTCATCGCTGCTTCCTGGGATGCCCCATGGAGCAGGCTTGCACCTACCAGGTCCACGTTGGAGAAGTAAGCCCAGGCCTTGCAGTCAAACTCCTGTGTGGTGGGTGCCATCTGGGGCAGGACTTTCCAGGAGTACTTCTGGAGCTCACCGGGCTCCACCACCTCTCCACCCTCCATTGAGTCCTGTGTCTCCTCGTAGGCTTGCAGTGTGGAGTGGAAGGAGAAGGGCCGCGAGGCCAGGTTCTTGAACGTCACCTGCCCGGGAGGGAAGGCAAAGCAAAGAGAGTGTGGGAGGGGGCTAGGTGCAGCGCTGAGAGTGCCCTGGACCCTGGGGTTGAATTCAGCCAGCTGGTGGGAAGAAGACAGCCATGTCCCCGGTGCCTAGACCTCCAGCTGTGACCCATGCAGTGGTCAACACCTGCTGA